ATATATATATGTATATATATATATATATATATATATATATATATATATATGTAAATATATATCATATATCTATTATATATATATATATATAGAGATATATATATATATAATATATATATATATATATATATATATAACTTGTTAGTACGAGGAGCTTAAGTTTCCTAAAATTGTTTTTAATGGTTTTATTAATTAAACCTTTTCCATTTAACATATCATATGTTGGGATGAGGCCATTAAAAGGCCTCAGCAAAATACTAAACAAAAAAGAGTTGGTCTAGTTCTATTAATAGAGCTTTATTTACTTTCCAATTTTATTTATACCTGAATACTTCGGTAGCTAGATGGCTCAACCGAATATAGGTTTCTAGGGACTATTAACGGCCATGATCTGGTACGGTTTGCTTCGTTTCCCATCAAAGCCGAAGGTCGAGATTGTAAAGTTTCCAGTCATTGTGAACAGAAAAGAAAAAGAAAAGAAAAATAAATGTCAATGTGAAAAGGAACATTTTCCACGTTGGCATTTTATACATAAAATTCTCGCGAACCCAATGTTGAGAATGGCTGGCCGATGGTGTTGGCTTGAGAGTCCGAGCCTTCCACTAATCAGCCATGTTTTGTCGACAGGTTTATTATTTTTAATTTAAATTTTTAAATATCGCTATCGACCGGGTTAATGTAGGCGAGCCGCCTAATCAGCTCATCGATCTGGTCCTGTTGCAACCGATTCTGTAGCACCAGCTGGTCAATGACAACCTGATTGTCTTGGTTCTGCCGCACCAGCAGGGAAATAATGTTGTTCCACTTAATGTCCAGCGGCGTGTCATCCGGGTCATCGTACACCAGCGTGGGGTCAATGGCATACACCTCATTGGCCATAAAGCCAAAGTGGGTCTCCTCCTTGTCCACGATCATGGTGTCGTCGTCGTTTCCCTGGTCGACTTGTTCTTATTCTTAAAGTTGAACTCCTTGACAACCAGCTTTGCTATCAGTGGTGATGCATCGCGATCGAATAATTTGATATTCTCCTTGGTCTCTTCGCTCGAGGACGAGTACGTAATCTCGCCCGTTGCGGCATTGTACGTCAGCGCGTTGGGCCCCGAGGCGTTGCGGATAGGCTTGACCATCAGCGAGCCGTCGACGGCATTCTTCATACCGTACCCGTGGCATTCATGGTGATTGCGTGAGACGCAGACTGCTCGTTGGCTGCTGCTGTTGTGGACGCTGCAAATGCACCAATCGCAATGCTGCATTCGCCCTGGTTGTAGTGTGCTGCATCGAATCCTATGGCGACCGCATGTTGACCCTGGGCTTCACATCCGGCATCCTTACCCAGGGCCACGGCTCCGACACCCTGGTTGGCACTACCGGCATTGTTACCAATGGCGACTGCCGACGTCCCCTGGTTGGCGTTGGCGGCATTTTGCCCTAGGCGTATTTCGGTGCTTTTGATTCTCCACGACATTCTTTGAGTTGTTAACCCGTTTATCTAACCTAAAACAATATTTATTTATTTTTTGGATTGATCTTCAAAAGCGTTTCAGCCCTTGTTTTTTCAGGGTTTAGGGTTTTACTAAATGTATCGACTTTTTATCGTGCTTGCACTGTGCCCGATTGCCCTCTTTGTCTCCAGGTGGTCCCGTGGCGGCGAAACTCGTGCAGTGTACAGGGATACGGATACGGGATATGATACCAAGTTCGACAGTTATGTGCCACCAAGCGATGGACCGTGGACCGCAGTGGCAGTAAAGAATCGGCCCGCCACCGGAATCATGCCAATGTGCGGGCTGACAGAGAAGGGCAAACTCGAGTATATTCGCGTGTTCGCAGACGACTGCTACGCTGGTACTAGTGTGACGTTTGCGAAGCTGGACGAAGAACTCGACAAGCTGGAGCCGGGCATGAGCGCCATTGTCCGGCTATACTTTTTAAACGGACCAGGTGAGAACCGATCGTCCGCGTGGGCTACGACACCGGGTGAGAGTGGTATAAACGACTGGAGCAACCCAAATATGATGCAGATGGTGTCGGAATTGTTCGAGAAGCTGACATTGCATCTACGCAACGAAAACCGGTGCTGTCTGCTGCAGCTGGGGTTTGGATTTTGGAGCGAGTTCCACATTAAGGGAGTCAGCATGCAATCCGGCATCAATTTTCCGAGCGCTGCACAGGTGGACACGCTGTTTGATATTGTCAAGGCCAACCGCGGACCGCTACATGTGGCTGTAAGTGTCGGCGTGGGGGACAACGAGCGAGTTCTGAGCGACAACTTCCGGACGGATTCGACAATTGGACTTTTCTACGACTCGTTCATGAAAACAAAAGGTGACGAGTCGGCTTACGAAACGAGCATACACGAGGCGTCAAAATACGACCGGCGCGTAGGCGGCGAGTTCTCGAACGGCGAAAGTATACTCGATTCGATTATGGACACGACGAAAGCGCTCATGAAGAAACGTGCTATGCACTACATCTTCCCGAACGGGACATCAGACATCATGTCTAGCAGTGACAGCCAAATCCAGGAACTTTCAGAGTACATGGGATACCGCCTCAAGGTCACGGCGGTTGATAAAAGTCCGAACGGGGTTTCGCGGCTGCGGGTGAGCAATGTGGGTATCGCGCCCACGTTGTACGATTTGAATGTTGTACACGAGGGCGTCACATTTATGTCGAGCCTCGCGGAATTAATGCTCGGTGCGGACGCCGCAACGTTTGAAGCTGAGGGGGAGCGATACTTGCAAAAAGTACCGTTGATGTGATTGTCTCAGGGGAAATCGTCGATATCGTTTCAGCCCATGTGGTGGCCCTACCGTATGTCCGATCGGCGCACTAGTCAGACCTGAATGGTCAAGGTCTTTCAGGGTTCGATTGATTGATGGAACTCGGATTGTAGTCAAAGGGACAAGTATAAAATGACTGGCGTTTGAGTCGTTTAGGTTTCACTTTTTCTTTTTCGCTTTTGAACTGCCAAAAAAAACAAAAAAAATATGTTATCCACGACATTTATCCCGAGCGACAATGAGATATTCCAGGCTGCTCAACGGAACAATGTGACCTTCCTAATTTCCATGCTCCCGACCGAGTGGGAGCCCGTTTGCCAACGATCCCTTCAAGCAGGGTTGTCCGAGGTTATTACCACGCGCTTGACATCGACATGCTCACATACGAGCAGATTGACGCCTGCTTTGAGTTTGCCGTATACTACGGCTGTCGAGCCGCGTTCCAACCCCTGAAGAGCGCCGGCGCGAATTGCGACGACACTATATTCTGTGGCGACGAGAATGACAGCTGTGCAGTGAACGAGTTTTTGGACGGCAACCTGGGTAACTACAATGACGATTCATGTCATCTAGCTGCGATAAATGGCCACCGGGAGTATCTGACGTCGGTTATCCACCACTGCCCCTTTGACATTGTGCGATACCGCGACATGGAGTACTGTGTACACGACATTGTGTTGTACGCACTGGAGAGGGAGCTGCTGTCAAAATCGGAAAACCAGGATTGCTACGATGCAGCCGTACTATTTACATGTATTGAGCTCCTCGACGACGCTGGGGCGGTTGGAGATCACGATCAATAAACGCTGGTAGCGTAAAGTGCTCCATTTTTAATTTTTTTTAATACAATATTTTTTTTATTTAGCAAACATATACATATATGTCGTCTAGACTAGCCTGGGAAAATGACCACTTTGGCACTTCCACCGATTTAGGTTCAAACATGCGAGCACCAGTTCGGTCGTTTGTCCCTCTTTACCTACAATCAGTTGATTAATTCGATTCAGCTCCTCTGTCATCGACTTAACCTTTTTATTGAATCGATCATTTATGTCCACCTGTTCCCGCAGTTCTTTTCGTTCCCGTGCCAACGTTTGTTTCATCTTTTCAACCGCCCCATGCACTACATCGATTTTCTCCTCATCTTCTGCAGTTCATTTAAACTCGTACATCAATAGTTCTCTGTCTTCTTCTTCACCTCTCAATTGCACATCTAGTAGCGCATCTATTTTAGTCCCCAAATCCGCTTGTTTTTCCACACTAAGGTAATTAAAATCCAACCGCCCCGGCGTCGCGCAGCGCAGCTCGTGTACAATGTCAAATGGGCAGTAGTGGATAACCGACGCCAGATACTCTCCTAAGGTTAGACTGGCGACACGAACCAACAAACATCAACGGTGGCAGTGTAGGGAACAGCCATGTTCCCACTTCCTCACAGTGTTGTATTCGCGACCAGTCAGGTTGCAAGGTCCTCGCGGTCGCGCTCCAACCAGGCCGCACGCGCCCGGATGGTCTCGATGCTCTGTTTGATGGTCCGTTCCGTGGCCGGCGTGCCGTTGGACTCAAAAAACAAAACACCTCCTTGGCTCTCGTCTCGGAAGAAAACCCCTCGGCGCTGGCCGTCACAATGCGCGCCATCAGAAAGTTTCTGGTCAAGAAGCGATCGTGGAATTGCGACCAGTTCGCCTTTACATAGTCCCAGGTGACATCCCTCCCCACCGGGTTATCGCTACATGCATTGATCATAACCGGCACGTCCTGTGAACGCACTTTACCACTGACACTGTAGTCCAGCGTCTTGACCACCAGAGCGGCCGAGCTACCCGACCCCAGAGCCTTGGGGATGGGTAGTGACTCCTCCTCAGTATCCACCGTGTCGGCGAGCTCCAACAGCTGTCCCCACTCCCTGTCGCCGCGTGTTGGCCTCCGCAGCCACCTCCGGGACCTTGACATCCCCAGCGGCCTGGATGGCGCTGGTGCGCAGCAGGATGATAAGGTGCCCCTCGCCCTCCTTAACATCCCAGCCAAGCTTGGTGGCCAGAGGTCCATACATGGTCTGCTTGAACTTGCGCAGGCGGCTTAGGGTCTGCTCGTCCTCTGCGTATCACACGGATGAGAGCCAGTCCAGGCTCTCAATGATCTCGGTCCACACAGTAGTATCATCCTCCTCCGTGTAGGCCGACAGCACCTGCAGCGCGTCGGTCGTGTTCGTGTAACCGGCAGACGCCAGCGCAAACATGTCGTTCACGATACCGGTGCGATCCGCCACGGAGAACGTCTTGTTGCTGATACCCCTCTGCAGCATGGGTAGCAGTGCCTGGTCGTACCTTACACGGTAGAACCCGGCCATCTCGGCATTGAGCTTCCACACGGCCCCGTCGGGGATGGAGCTCTCAAAGGTGCCGCTCGCCGACCCCTCGAGTAGCTGGTCGCTGCCAGCCTGTACGCCGTCAATCAGTATGTTAACCGGCACCTGCCATAGACTCTGGTGATCCACAACCGTCGGCACCGCCCCCATGCTCAGGTACTGCTCCTGCTGCACGGTGATCTGGGTGGCAATGGTGGTGATTGAGGAGGTGGTGGAAGAGGGAGAGGTGGGGGGCATGTTGTTGTTGTTGTTGTTGTTGTTGTTGGTGGTGGTGGTGGTGGTGTTGTTGGTGGTGGTTGCCGCCACAGCAGCAGCGCCACTGTTTTCGGGCTCGGTAGACGCTGCCGAGACTGTCAGCACAGGGTAGCCCGCCTGCCGGGTCCAGCTGGTCATCAGACTCTTGACATCCTTGCCACTGGACGTGCTCAGTGCGGCCCACAAATCACCAGTGCTGGCATTCGAGTACGTAAACTTTTTCAGATAGGCCCGCATGCCGGTCAATTTTATTTTATTTTCCAAACCCCCATCAATCGGGGCTGGACCATTGTACCCTGTTGTGGGAGTTTCAAAAAAGATAAAAATTGGGGTATAAAATGCACAAATAGTACGAAGTTTGATTCACAATCTCTCCACAACACAAACAACAACGACTATGGAGGGGATACTTGAATCGCACTTTACTTGTGTCATCTGTACCACAGTAACAATAGGCGTCAAACAGACTTCTTGCTGTGGAGCGTCACTGTGGGACATCTGTGTAACCAAGACTAAAGGCAACTCGTGTTGCAAATGTCGCAATACGACGTTTGTCATGTTCAAGAACCGCGCCATGCACGAAGTGCTCGAAACTTGTTCAAATTGCCCAGCTGCCGACTATAAAAACGACCGCCGATTACGAGTCCCTGCTGTACGGAGCCTCATACAAGTGTATGTTAAACAAGCCACGTGGATCCCTTGAAGGTGAGCAGATCCTTATCGATCAAGTGTCTGCCACTGTACACTCAACACGTAATAGTGATGATGTGGTGATAGTGTATATACAAGAGAGCGAGAGGTATGCGAAACTATCTTTACACGCGGCCAATCATCTTGTAGTTGAGCGCCAGGAGGCCGAGAAAAAGGCTTGTGATGACTTGCGACGTGTCGAGAATGAGGAGTTAGAGTTCACGTTTGGTCCCCTGTATGATGATCGACTGTTTATGCCGAGTAGCGACGAGTCAGACATTGAGGTGATAAGTTCCAGTGGTGAAGACAATGATGTTCTTCCGTTTGCACCTGCACCTCCAGTGTGGACCCCAATGACGGTTGCCAAAATGAGTCCGGAAGAGAGACAAATGTATGATTGCGTCCTCAACGATGCTTCCCAGACGCAGCCGTCGCACAGGTGTGAGATGGAAATTGGTTGCAATATATCAATGCAATTCAGATCGTCGACACTGTATTACACCGTTCCACGCTAACCGTTTGCATGTACGTGTACTGTCGTCGCGCAATGTCAAGACGCGACGTCAGTTGGTCCCTCAAGACTTTTTGTAAAAAGATAACATTTTTTCTTCTTCTTCAAAAAATAAAACAAAAGTTCCGATAACACATCGGTTTTTATTTGTATTTTGAATATTTTAATACAAGTTCTTTTTCCAATATTTCCAAAGTGTTCTAAATTCACTTTGATGGCTCCAATAGCCTGAGTATTTGGTATGACTCATTTACTTAGACAGTACATCACTACTACTTATAGATTTTGGTCCTCCCACCAATCTTCAAAATCCAATAAGTCTTTTTCTTTTTTAACTTTTCTTCAGATGTAACTTTATTTATATCAGCTAATGTATTAACGTGACTTACGTTCTTATGTCTATCTACAAATTAGGCATGTGATCATGAACACTTGGTACTTTCACAAGCTACCACTGCTAAATCCTGACTGACTAAATTGTATTTTAGTTTAACGCATGCACACACATACACATCAACGTATGCACACACTTCAACACATACATACAATCAATTATGTCTATCTTAGGCATGTGGTCATGAACACTTGGTACTTTTATTGAAAATTATTCAATAAAGAACAGCTAGAGGTACGCCCTGTGTGATCGAGGATATTTGGGCTCTTACCAAGAGGCAGTCCCGATCATTCTTACACAAGCTACCACTGCTAAATCCTAACTGACTAAATTGTATTTTAGTTTAACATAATACACCACACACATACACATCAACGTATGCACACACTTCAACACATACATACAATCATTCTAGACCCTAAAAGCCAAAAAAAAAAAAGGAAAAAAAAGAAGGCGATTTTCAAAATGGTGAAAAAAGAAGGTGATTTTCAGAATGGTAAAAAAAGAAGGTGGTTTCCGGTTTGGTGAATTTTTATGGTAAATCTGCCAAAAAAAAACAGTGTATTTGGAAACGAGAGACCCCAACATACACGTGCTCGCGACTCCACTCTATCCACGTGACCCAATAAACGGGCACTCGCGGGAGCGAAGGACATGGAACCTCCATTTAAGAAGATTAAGAAATGTGCCGACGCATAGTGTGGGCATGACATGTACCAATTAATCCCAAACGGTTACTGGAATGGCAGACATGCATCCACCTGTACACACTTTCTTATTAAGTGCGACAAGTGCAAGAAGACCAATGGCTATCACACTAAGTCTTGTGACAAAAAGCCCAACATTAAGTTGGAGTGAAGGTACTACCAGGTACAATCGTTACACAGACAATACAACGACTCTTTAGATGAGCGTGTAATAATCCCGGTATACTGCAATGGAAATAAAATCCTTGCGTTGATTGATCCTGGTTCAGAAATTTCATGTATATCCGATCGCTTTGTATTAATGAAAGATATCGAAAGGAGAACACAAACAACTCATCTCATTTTAGCTGATGATAAAACTGCTACGTGTGATACCATCACCACAGATGTTAAAATCTCCCTGGCCGATGATAGGAGTATCACTACTCAAGCTGTGATAGTTAAGATGTCACAGAAGTACGACATTATAGTCGGAATGGGTGATTTACTCACTCTAGGTATAACCGTAACGGGTCTACCAAACAACATAGATCCATTAAAGGATCAATCAGACGATAACTGTCTGAAACCATATAAGTCCCCGTCAGACACAGTCAAGGCATTAATACCTGACTTTGCGAACAAAATCATGGATTTGATTCTAGTTAATAAGAAAATAAAGATCACAGATTGGGCAAAATTTCGTTTTAACGACGGATATGTCAGCCTTGACTTAACCAAGGTAGACTTTACACAGTTAAAGTGTCCCTCAAGGAACTATCTATCCTGGAGACACGAGGCTGTTGTAAAAGAACAAGTTGAGAAATGGCTAGCAGATGGTGTGATAGAAATTAACTATCAACAAACGCCAGCTAACTTGGCACTGCTAGCCGTAGACCAACATAACTCTGACGGATCGTTTAAAAAAGTCAGAGTATGTTTAGATATGAGTCCAATAAATAAATTATTGCCGACTCATAGCTTTCACTTACCTCGTATTAACGTGCTACTGCGAAGGATGGAAGGTGCTACAGTGTTTATAACTATAGACCTTACACAAGGATATCATCAAATGCAGGTATATGAACCCCACCGTAAATACTTTAGCTTTACGTGGAAAGGTAAACAATACAGGTTCAGAGGTGCACCTTTCGGATTACACTCTTTACCAGCATTCTTCCAACAAGTAATGGAAGAAATGTTTGCAGACATGCCTAACGTGCAAGTCTATATAGATGACATAGTCATCTTTTCTAAGACTACAGGCGAACACGCCGCATTAGTCAGACGAGTCCTTAAGAGATTCAATGAGCAAAACTTCAAGATTAACGAGAAGAAATGCCACTTCGCCATGAGCGAAATACAGCTCTTAGGCTACCATATATCTGGGGAAGGTATTAAGATCGACCCCGGTAAGGTAGAACACCTGTTAGATTGGCGATCACCAACTACAGGAAAAGATGTTAACAGCATGTGTGGGTTTGTAAACTTCTTTTCAGATGAAGTACCACACTTAGCTGACTACCTTAAACCTTTTGGACACTTAAGATGTCATAAAGGCAAACTAGGAGACTTGTGGACTAAAGAGTGTGATGACGCGTTTAAAGCGCTCAAACACGCAGTCCAACAAGCCCCAGTTGTACAAGGGCCAGTCGATGGCGTGCCGTTTGAAATAGCAACGGACGCATCAGACTTAGCCTTAGGAGGAGTATTATATCAGGTTATAGATAACAAACCTAGATATATACAATTCT